TCGTCGAGAGACGAGTCACTTTTCAATTGCCTCCTCAGTCCGAAGTAGCACCTGTTGGAAAGAGTTATCCTGCGTTGGATTTCCAGGATGACATTGTTGGTGGTGTTTTTGCTGGTTCCCAAAGTCAAGAGTGACGTGAGWGCCAAGTCGCGAGTGCGACGACTGTTTGTTTGATGACAGGGGATATTTCGTATTGCCCTCGTTCACTGCCAGACCCATTGGCTTTGCTTTCTTGTCCAGTCTGGAGAAAGCCCAACTAACAGCGCGGGTGATATCAATATCATCGGCATACGCCAGTAGCTTTACACTCTTATAAAATATTGTACCTGCTGGAGATGGTACCATGGAGTCATATGTAGCAGTTCATGCTATTGAGGGAAGTTTTCTGATCGCCATTCACTTGGGAGTGGCCAGAAACGAATCGCTTACACATGGCTTAAGCAGCGCGCGACTTCCGGTCTTTGATCAAGTACCCTCTGGGTAGCCTAAGAACATCCGTTTGAAGGCGAGCTAAAGTGAGAAGGCGAAATATCCCCTACATAAGGTTGTGCGCTCAGTTTGGGATCAATGAAAAGAAAACACTTTAGGTAGTTGAATTTTTAAACTTTAAATGCAAATATCTTAAAACCCAAAAGTCAGCGGCAACTATGTATGTATGCATATTTACATAATCTGAAAACCTCCTCTATCCGAATATAYCTTTTTTAACCTCGTAATTCATCCTTTTAAAAGCTGGAATATATAGTATAGTTTTTTCTTTGAAAAAATTTCTTATCACATCAATAAAGCCATTCAGTAATCTGCCTGAAATTTAAATTTTTGTACATAGCACATACATAGCCTTTTATAATATTTACAAGTTTTCCCTTTAAAAGTATATTCTAACAAGAATTTTACACTAATAAATGCTTTATAATTTATACCTAGAAACATCAACATTTGATTACAACTTCCGAATTAAAACTACATTATTTGTTGACATTGCGTGAATGTATGAGTGCAGAATCAAAAGGGATAAAGACGACTCTTCAGATAGTTTTGACAATACTGATAACTTCTTCAGTAATTGTTCGAATCATTATAAATTTAGATTGGAAGTTTCAATAGAAACTAACACTTAAAATAATAATATTTTTTGGTATGCAAACAAAGAAGTCTAGTTTTCGGCRCATCCACGTTTTTATTTGATACATTGCATAATATTGTCAAGTTTCGATATTTYATATCGATATTTTCTTTTAATGTACATCTCTATTTTAAACCGAAAATTTGTATTTTAAGTAGGAATCGACGAATCCGCGGTTAATATCAGTATTGGCTGATGGAGGAAGTTCTCGTGATTAATTATATATATACAGATATCTTTTCTGCTGCTAACTTGTATATTGAACTTAATTCCTGTAAGAAAAACTTTTTTATATATATTTTTTATGAAACCTGTTTTAAAAACTGGTGGTACATTGAAATGTTACGATGGAAGGAAGTACTCTGGAGCGTCTTAGGCAAAAATTTAAAAAGATTAACAAATTAGAAAAAACTATGTACGTTACCTCAAAATGTACAGAATTGGGTTTTGAAATTTCAAAAATCATCGAGTACCGACTTTAAAAAATTAAGTTATGGGGAAAAACTTTAATGTTTTGAAATGTGATGATAAGTTCATAAGACAGGAAAAATACATGTAATTTCGTCAAATTGTCTCCAATAAATTTGAAATAACATTCTTGAAATTATGATTTCATTTAAGACAAAATTGGAAAAAAGGCTTTAATCCCACTTCACCCTTAAAAAGCAAATATAATATTCCACCAACAATATATTTCCACTGTATTTTTACATCCCTTCTAATATGTACGTTGCTTGATAGATTTTTAGCTTTTGTATTAGATTTTGTGTTTTATTTTCATCTGCCTATTCAAGTAAAATAAAAATAAATCGACTCCTAGACCATGCATTTCCGGCTGATAACGCAATCGAGAAGATTACTACATATATGTATAAGTAATACATATTGGTACTTGGTTTTAGTTTTTATTTTGTGCTCTGAAGCTGTTTAGCTACATATATTTATATGTATGTTGCAGTTTTTCATTCCTATTTTACGTTACTAATCTACGTACGTATGTACATTTAGACATAAATAAGATAATAACGTCAATGAATAAATATTGTGGAAACCTCAGCCTCTGTCGTTTCGCACGCATAATCAATATTTATGACACAAGTATTGCGATAACTAAATGGAATTCTGAGTGAAAAGTATAATACATAATATCAATGATCAAAATGATGAGAAAGTTGAAGCCCGGTTGACTGCCTGTCTGTCCGAGATGGTAAGAGACAGCCTTATGGGGCACGTGTGAAAGTTGGRCAATGGGCGTGGCCCTGCCCACTTTTTGGTGAACTCCCATATTTGGGGATCCGACCAAAATTTGGTACGTGGCATTCTTCTTACATTTTTATGTCACATTGTGAAAGACAGATGACAACCACGCCTACTTCCCATATAGTACAATTTTAAATTCCAATTGATTCGTTCAATTTCCACTACACAAATCAAGAAGCAATTAATATAAAGGGATAAAACTTTGCACGACTAATGTCTTTAGTGTGTGTGACCGTGAAAAATGTAGAAAAATAAGTGCAACATAAACTGTTCAAGCACCTAGYTACGGAGTATTTAGACCACGGTACCTATAGTTGACTTTTGATCGAAAACGKCGGTCAGTGTGTGATATATATAACAGAAATTAAGAGATAAACCTTCTCATATAAAGGTAGGTCAGTATGTCAAAAATGGATTGAATGGTACCAATACTTCCCTTAGCCCCCAATATGTGAGTTATCCAAATGAAATTAAAACAGCGTGTTTTACTCATAACAGTAAACTAGATAAATTTTAATGAAAACCTTGCTTAGAACCTAGAAAACTTCAAATTTAATGGGGATGTTTATTATCCAACGAAACATTCTTCGGTATGTACGGTTTGAAGATTGTCTCTTTGAAATTGTCATTTGATGAAATGACAGCTCTTGAATCTCTTCAGGCAATATTGTTTTTTTTTACATGCCCATTGAACCAGAAATGGGAATGTCGAACGGTTTTAGTTGTGCAAGCACAAGCTGTATTTTGTACGCTTTCAAGTTAATATCTTGATCTCCACTTTCTTTGTGTATACTCTCAGCTACGGCTTCTATATTTTCTACTATGCGTGCTGGACGTGGTCTTTTTCGTCGAATATTATCCAATCATGAATGCTGGGTCTCAAGATGGGTGATGGTGTTGCGAATAGTATGTACAGTAGGCCGAACGTGAAATTTCTTAATAAATACATATAATACAATACTAAACAAAAATAACATRACAGCTTTACACGATTCATGTGTGATCTGATTCCTAGGTATCAGGAACTGGAAGCTACATACATACGTAGGTTGCCGTTTATGTTTCTTAATTTACGACCCCWGTGTTACAATCTTGGAATTCACCACTGTATAGTAAAATTAGATATTTTCGATGATATTCATTAGATTAGATCTAATCCAATGTTATTCATACTCAAGATGTTTTGACATATGTATGAGCGCTATTGCCCTTTGTTTGGTCACTGTAAGACAAATTTCGTGAAAACTGCTGGACATAACTATAGGCATCAGTGCGACTTGCATGACCTTTTCAATATAAAATTTTTTTGTTTAGTTGGATCTCACACAATTTGTGCTTCGAAACACATACATATATAACAAAAGGTGCTGAAACGGGAATTTATACTTATAAATCCGAAAGTGAACAGCATTTTTCAAAATGAGCCTATCCACTGGAACAACGCACAACAGTAAATTCTGAGTGGTACACAATCACTTGTTTGCTAGATGTTTTTCTCTGAATCAGGAAAACCAACCACCGAAGGCGGATATCTGTTACCATTCGTCAATCAAAGGGGCAATAGTGCTTCGACAATTAAAATGGTAGTCAGAAGGTTCAAGGTCTGCACGATAAGGTGGGTGAARCAAAACTTCTCAGCCGCTATTTTCCAAATAATTATTAACGGGTCTAGAAGCATGAGATGGAGTGTTGTGATAATGTAAAAATATTGTCTCATCACTTATCGCAAATTTAAAGTATTTTTCGGCAATGTTCGTTTGAATTTGATTGTTTCATCAAGCTATATTGCTGAAGCTTATAACACAGTACGTCCTTTTGATTGCACCGAATGCAGAGCATTAACTTTGCGTCATGCATATTCTTATTTGCCCTTGATATGTCTCTTTTGGCCAGGTTTCACATATGATTTTTTTTACGTAGAGGGTTATAACAATGGATCCATTTTTCATCACCAGTCACAATACGATGCAAGTACCATTTCTGACAAACCATATTGTCTTTCAATTACCCTTAATTCAATTAAAATGGCACCCGTTTTCCTTGCTTTTGAATGTATCCGACGGATTTTAAACGTTTTGATAAGAATAGGGAATTTTTGAGTGACTTAAAGATTCTGCGGAATTTTCTTGTGTTTGACCATAGTCTTCATCAATCAATGCTTTAAATTTCTCACTATGTATATGTTCTTTGTAAAATTGTCTTTACACGAGATTTAGCAACATTATTTTTTATATTGCAGATTATAACACCAGAACGAGGATAAGAAAATAAGTCWTCTGCCATCAACGCCGCCGAATGGAATTGGCATATACCAATTGTATGGACATAAATTTTCCTGCAGCTGTATAAACATGAATATTTACTTTGCCCTGCATACATACACAAACATATGCACATGCACATAAATAAATACAAATTAATAAAGGCTGGTCAAAAACCAAAGAACGTCTTATATTAGGGGAATTTGAAATTATCGCTATAACGAACCAACACAAGCTATTTGCCCAAGTTAAGGCCGATAAAATCGAGTACATTTTGACATTAATAGTAATACAGAAATAAGCTAACGACTCCGCACAATCTTTACAAAAAGCWAAAAATAAAAAACCAAAAAAAGAGGGAACAATGACATCTCGGTAAGTACAGTAACAGCTTTTAAAATATAGTGTATATAAAGATAGAATTTCGCATACGAAGCCAGCAACTGTGCAAACTTAAATATGAAACTTTCTGACGTGTAACACCATGTTCAGATCAGTGTGTACTTCATACAAGTATTATATACACATTAAAGTATTTATTCACATTAGGTAAAGTACAAAAATGGAACCTAAAATATCCCAAATTTAATCATATTTTGCTGTACTATATGTTTGTATGTTTTCATTACTTTATTTSTTGGCTTTTATATTGAAATCGTGACTTGTATTTTATATTCATTTCTTTTATAACCAAATGCAGGCTGGATCGCCTTTTTATATTGTTGGAGTCTGGGTCATCGGCGGTGACGCGTCGTGCGGCAGCGAAACAAATCGGAGAAGTGCAGAAGTTATACCCACACGAGCTGCATGCGTTGTTGAATCGTCTAATTGGCTATTTGCACAGCACTTCGTGGGATACGCGTATAGCTGCCTCACAAGCTGTCGAAGCGATTTTGCAAAATGTGCCCGCTTGGAAGCCGGAGTTATATGCAACCATAAAGCGTGAGGTCATTAAGAAAGAGAAGGATATAGACGATGAGTCAGCTATAGGCTCCACGACTGGCGGTGGTGAGGATGACAGCTGCCAATCGGTAGCCACGACCGCCACAACATCCAGTGAACAAAGCAGCAGTCGTGATGCGCAGCAGCGTGAACGCCTGTTATCTTTTKCGGAATTTGATTTGGAGCAAATACTTCATAAAGGCGCACGTCTTATCGGCTCCGAGGGCATGGAATTCGATTTGAATGAAAGTGATGTGACGAAGTCGACAAATGAAGGTGCGGCGAATGCTAATGCCACAGCTTCAGAGAGGTTGAGTCGTCAACGTGCACTGTTGAATGAGAAACTAGGTCTGACACAGGCGTCTAAATTGGGCGTTAACTTAATGGACATGATTACCGATGAGGATGTCATGCCTTCTAATAATGGCAGCTCTTACAATGCCAACGAAGAGAAGGTATGTATGATATGAGAAGTACAATTTTATAACCATCTACGCAGGACATATTTTTATAACCTGAAAAAGGTATTTTAAGTTTGGCATGAAGTTTGTAGCACCCAGAAGAAAATGTCGGTGACCCTGAAAATTAGGTATAAACGTATGTATAGCGTAACAAGCTGTGTCGATTTAATCATATCTGTCTGTCTATCTGTATCTACGCGAAATTGAAATTTTGCACATGTCCTTTTCTCCCCAAGAAACTGCTCAGTTGTCGGACTACTATAGCATAACTGCCATCCAAATTGAAGATCAAATTCAAGTTCTAGTTTGTATGCAAATAATATTTTTTTAATATTCACGAGTTTTCGCATAGATCATTGTCAAAGGGCACATTACAATCTCCAAATATATGGTTTAGATCGGTAATAGGATTTTTTTTTTATTTGTAAAGGGTATTCCATCTTCGGTGCAACCGAAAGTAATATTTTTTATTGCTTTGTTTTTGGTTGATTGTTAAAAGTTATTATTAAATATATTTAAAATTGTAAAGTAAATCGTATTTAAAAATCCACTGTCAAATCATTATTTCTTTTTTTTTTGTTTCTGGTAGGTCCCCGTTGAAGACATATTGAACATAAAGCCCAATTCACATCTAATTCCTTCCAATGGGCAACAATTGAGTTGTCGAGAAATGAATCGAGCCAAACGAAAGGCGCGACAAAATATTAGTATCACAACCAGTGGCGGTTGTGCCAATTCATCCGTTAATAGTCTTAGCCGCAGCAATAGCAGTACAAGTAGCGGTTTGGGCACCTGCAAGAATAGTTGCAGTGTGAGCGATGAACCAGAGCATAAGAAAATGAAAGCAGACTCACTGCAACGGCAAGAAGTTTTCTACACGTTGAATGGTTGGTGTTGCTAAGCAAAATAGAGCAAATATTGTTGTGATACATATTAATTTTTTTATATATATTATTAGATCCCGTTCCGGATGCGACTGGTATGTGGGTGGATGCCGTCAGTTGGCCTTTGGAAAATTTTTGTGCACGCCTATACGTTGATCTCTTTAATCCACGATGGGAGGTACGTCACGGCGCTGCGACTGCGTTGCGTGAACTAATTAACAATCACTCCAACGGTGCTGGTAAGGCAATCGGTATGTCACGCGAGGAAATACAGCAGCATCATAATCTCTGGATGGAGGATGCAGCCTTGCGTTTGCTCTGCGTACTTTGTTTAGATCGCTTCGGTGACTTTGTATCCGACCAAGTGGTGGCCCCAGTACGCGAAACATGTGCACAAGTTTTGGGTACCATCGTCAAAGACATGCATGCAGAGCAAGTGCATCAAATCGTGCAACTATTGATGAAATTGCTAAAACAAAACGAATGGGAGGTGCGTCATGGCGGGCTGCTAGGCTTGAAATATGTTTTTGTAGTACGTGAAGATCTATTGCCGATTTACGTGCCGCAAACTATAAGTAATATATTGTTGGCGCTTTTCGATGTAGTCGACGATGTGGGCGCTGTTGCTGCGTCGACTTTGATACCGATCGCCACGTGGCTACCGAAATTGCTGAATCCTGTGCAGGTGTCGTCGATTGTAAAGATGCTGTGGGATCTGCTATTAGATCAGGATGAGTTGACAAGTGCATGCAACAGCTTTATGGGATTGCTAGCTGCGATTTTGTGTTTGCCAAACGCCGGCTCTTGGATACAGTGAGTGCTTTTCAAGGTCGTMATTTATGATTTCATTATGTGTTTTATATTTCTCTTTATTTTCAAAAGAATGGAACCAATGTCTACTTTGATACCACGACTGTGGCCCTTCCTTTCGCATAGTACAAGTTCGGTGCGCAAGTCTACTTTGCTTACCCTTCAAACACTCACTGCCAACAATCTAAGTAAGGAGAAGCTTGAAGCTACGGCCATCGTTGTGCCCACCACAAGCTCAGCTTCCATTAACAATGGCAATGGTGTAATTATGTCGAATAAGGGATCTTCAAGTGATGAAACCGCTACTATTGCCATTAATTTCGACTCGAAAAAATTGAATTTAAATTTGGGTGTCATCGATTGGCAGTGGAAGCTTTTGCAGGATGCCCTACGTTTCATCTACGAACGTATTCTAGTCGAACATCAGCCTGATATACAAGAGATGTCTTGCAAAGTATGGAACAATCTCTTGTTTAATGCTGATTTGGGAGCACTGCTTCATGCAGCCTGCCCTATCGTGTCGTCGTGGATTTGCTTAGCCATGCAGCCAGCGCGTTTAGCCTTCGATTCCTCTATACTAATACATACCACAGCAGCACCACAAAGTCTTCCGGCTATGTCAGCTGACGGACACTCACCTGCAACATCCCGCCGACGTACACAACGCGTTACGGATGACTTAGGTGCTGACTCCACACCGACAACGCAAAGGTATTTCCTTGGTGGCAGTGAAGGGACACCTTTGGAAGTGCGTGAACGGAATGTGATACGTGCTCGTGTACTAGCAGCTCGAGTACTAGGAGCACTTTCCAAATATCTAGTGCAACCTGCTCCCGGTGTGGCGTACACACCTAATATGGAATCACCGATGGACTGTTATACCAAAGTGCTGTTAGGTCATTTAAATTCACGGTCAGCGGTGCAGCGCATTGTGTGTGGTAAGCTTTATTGGTGATTCAATAATATTTATAACCGTGTATATTAAGTTTACCACAAAGTTTGTAACACTTAGAAGGAAATGACGGAGAAATTTTGTAAAATATATGTCTATAAAATGTATAAACTGACGCGCTGAGTCGATTTAGTCATGTCCGTTTTTTTTTTTATTAAAAAAACAACTTTTTTATTTGACGATGCAACGGTATAATAACCGAAGCAATTGTTCAGCCTATAGCTGTTATACAAACTGACCGATCAACATCAATATAAAAATCGGTTTATATAATTTTTTGCTATAAGAAATGTAGGCTATTATATCTTCGGGAAAAGCCGAAGTAAACGTTTTTTCTTATTTTATTTAAATTTCTTACAAACGCTGTGTTATAGGTCTAATCATTGCTTTCTGGGCGCAACTCGACCAATCAATGCATATGGCTGCACCCAAATTGGCTGAAAAACTCCTCACATGTGTCATGGAGTATGTATATTATGACGAAGTAGCCATTTCATTTACGAGGTAWTTTAATTCATACAAATTGTAAAACGGAGTGTTTGGTATGGTAACAAAAAATTTCCTTTTATTTAGACTTCATCAAGAGGCTCATGATCTCATTGCCACACTAAAACAATATAAAATTGTCATAAACGATTTCAACAATGCGCGCGTTCTCACATTGGAACAAATTGAAGCCATTGCCACCACTCTCACAGAGGGTTTGCATCAATATGCGCTAAAGCCGAAATTATTGGAAACACTCGAAGAGCGTAGGCGCGGTTTACAAAACTCTTTTGCTCAGACTACAGCGGAGCAGTGCGCGTACAATATAAGCGCACAAGCGGCATTAGCTGCTGCCATTGTGGGTATGCAATGTCTGCCGGAGAAACTTAATCCGATAGTTAAACCGCTCATGGAATCAATAAAACGGGAAGAGTGCGAGTTGTTGCAAAATCTTTCGGCGGAGTTCCTAGTACAGCTAATGCATCAAGTGTGTGATAGAAATCCTAGTCCCAATAGTAAAATACTTACTAACTTATGTACGCTACTGAGGAGCGATCCTCAGTTTACACCGAAAATTGTGAGTAACACCAATTGATTGTGAAAATTCGGAATATATATAATGCACATTTAAATATTTCTTATGTCTTTTAGATTTTAAGCCCATTGACATTGAAACAGACTCCCTTGCCGGAGTCGGCAGCAGTCACAAACAATTGTGTATATTATGGGATTTTAACTTTAAGTCTTCAACAAAATAATATACAAATTGGTGGTACTGGTAACCGTGGCGTTGCTGCGAGTGCTCCTCGTGGACCTGGTAGGCCGCCMCTAAATGAAACGCTTGCCACAACAGAAATTGGCACCAATGCTGTAAATGCGGTGGTAAGTGCCTTTTAAACTAAATTTTTGTTTTGACTTGTATTTTACTCAATTATTATTGTCCCAGGAAGTGAAGCAGAACCGCATTCAGCGCATGGGTGCATCATGTGCCATATCGAAGATTTGCCTAGGCTTTAAGATGAATATTTTCTCAAAGATACCAGTTTTCCAACATATTCTCTTTACTAAAATTGAACAGTTCATAAATAATTATCCAAATATGGAACTTTTATCGAATGTACCCTTAGATTTAGCCCAAACAAATGATATAATCACATCACTGCAGTTAATCGAAATTGCAGCGCCACACTTTTTGCACTTTGCGAGCGATGCTTCAGCAAAAGACGAAGTGCTCAAGCGGCTGTTTTCGTTGCTGCCACATTTCACTGTTCTCATCACGCACCCCTTGAAGGCGGTAAGTTGTGTTTGAAATTTACTCACTCTAATTTATTGACTTCTATTAATTGGGATTTAGGTACGTCACATGGTCGCACGCTGTATTGCAGCCCTCGCAGCAGCAGATTTGGTGCGCACCATGCACTTTGTGCTCGATGTACTACTTGGCATGCTGGTTAACATTGAGAATGTAATCCAGCGTCAGGGTGCGATTGAAGCTATTGAACGTGTGGTAGACAAGCTGCAGCTGTGTATTGTGCCTTATACCGTGCTTCTAGTCGTTCCATTGTTGGGTAAGCGCCTCTTTTTTTTTTAAATTTTTTTTTTTTTAATTTTCTGTTATAATGTGTTTTGTTTATCAGGTTGCATGAGTGACCCAGATGAATCTGTGCGCCTGCTTTCCACGCATTGTTTCGCTACACTCATTCAGCTGATGCCATTAGATTCGCGCAGCAAATGCATCAAAAACGAGATTCCTTCTGCAGAATTGCAGCAGCGTAAGATACGCGATCGCGAATTTCTCGATTATCTTTTCACGCCAAAAAGTATACCCGACTACAAAGTACCGGTAACAATTTCCGTGGAGCTTCGTTCTTACCAACAGGCTGGCGTGAATTGGTTATGGTTCCTTAACAAATACAATTTGCATGGAATACTCTGCGATGACATGGGCCTGGGAAAGACATTGCAAACCATTTGCATACTCGCCGGCGATCACTATCAACGTCATGTAGACAAAGCCACATCACTGCCRAGCTTGGTGATTTGTCCACCCACTCTCACTGGCCATTGGGTATACGAAGTCGAAAAATTTATACAAAAGTCGAACATTTTGCGGCCACTGCATTACGTGGGATTGCCCATTGGGCGTGAAAAACTGCGTTGCCAAATTGGTGCATGTAACTTGGTAGTGGCATCATATGATACAATACGCAAAGATATAGATTTCTTCAATACCATACACTGGAACTATTGTGTGTTGGATGAAGGACACATCATAAAGAATGGCAAAACCAAAAGTTCAAAGGCTATTAAGATGCTCAAAGCTAAGCATCGTTTGATACTTTCAGGTACTCCCATACAAAACAACGTACTGGAGCTGTGGTCACTATTCGACTTTCTCATGCCCGGTTTTCTTGGCACTGAGAAGCAGTTTATTGCACGCTACAGCCGACCAATACTTGCTTCTCGTGATTCCAAGAGCTCCTCAAAAGAGCAAGAAGCCGGCGTTCTTGCAATGGAGGCATTACATCGGCAGGTGTTGCCATTCYTATTGAGACGCGTAAAGGAGGATGTATTGACTGATTTACCACCGAAAATAACCCAAGACTTATTGTGCGAATTGAGTCCATTGCAAGAGCGTTTGTACGAGGACTTCAGTCGTACACATTTGAATTCTCATTGGAAGGATTGCCTGCAGAGTATGGGCGATAGTGACAGCATTAGTAAAAAGGCRCACATTTTCCATGATTTGCGTTATCTACAGAACGTATGCAATCACCCGAAACTGGTGCTCACGCCAAAGCATTCGGAGTACGGGAAGATAACATTGGAGTTGCAGAAACAGCAAAGCTCACTGGATGACATCGAACACTCGGCGAAATTACCGGCACTGAAGTGAGTATTGTWACAATTATTAGCTGTTGTTATTTATGTAATAAAATATTATTCATTTCATATGCGGTTTAGGCAATTATTGCTCGATTGCGGCATTGGTGTTCAGACGGAATCGGTCAGTCAGCATCGCGCGCTAATTTTCTGTCAATTGAAAGCTATGTTAAATATTGTCGAGAATGACTTGCTACGCAAACACTTGCCGTCCGTTACGTACTTGCGCCTGGATGGCAGCGTGCCAGCATCCTTAAGACAACAAATTGTAAACAACTTCAACACCGATCCGAGTATCGATGTGCTACTACTAACCACACAGGTAAACAAGAGATCAATCACGTTTTCTCYTAAATATATTCATATTTTGCTTTAATACAAGGTTGGTGGCCTCGGTTTAAATTTGACTGGCGCAGATACAGTAATATTTGTTGAGCACGATTGGAATCCAATGAAAGATCTACAAGCCATGGACCGGGCTCATCGCATTGGCCAGAAAAAGGTAGTGAATGTATATCGTTTGATAACTGAAAAAACGCTTGAGGAAAAAATAATGGGTCTGCAGAAGTTCAAAATACTCACCGCGAATACAGTGGTTAGTTCGGAGAATGCATCGTTGGAGACGATGGGCACGGGTCAGTTATTTGACTTGTTCAATGCAAATGTTAATGATAAAACTGGATCAAGTGGTGCGCCAATGTCGAATACGAGCGCTGGTGGTCAAATGTCTATGAATGCTATCATTGAATCTCTACCAGAGCTATGGTCAGAACAGCAGTATGATGAAGAGTATGATGTGTCCAATTTCGTGCAGGGTTTAAAAAAATGAGTTCGTAATAGAAAAAATAAACTTGGACATAAGAAATGGATATATTAAAAAAATGATACAATACGATATGCATTGATTCCAAATTTAATGCCTCCACACACAAATTGACATAATGCAGAAACTTTTATAGAAATCACTGGATTTTAAACATAGTTTAGTTTCTAAGATTTCTTCCGTTTTTTTTACTATTATCAATCTAATATTTCGAAAAGTTAGTTAAGTGTCCAATATAATCCTTTAATGTGCTCCTTTTTACTTATTTGAAAAAATTATGAGAAATTTGTATTTTTTTTCATTTTTAATGTTTTCTTGTTAACTCGCTGCTTCTCTTTTCTATATCTATTTTAATACAATCGTTAAATGTGCTCTTTTTTAGTTATCTGAACAATTATGAGAAATTTGTATTTTTAATTCTTAATGTTCGTTTGTTTTTTTGTTAATTATATCCCATAAAAAATTTCGCTGCTCTTCTTTTTTATAATCTCTTTAAATAGTGCAAGGTTCGATTGTACTTTGGAGTGGCTATAGCGGATTAAAAAATAAATTCCAATAAAAACAAAAGAAAATTGAAATAGCGTTATAAAATTAATTGGAAAACAGGTAAAACGTTGACTTCGATTGTACCGAAACTTTAACACCCACAGTGCTATGCTTTAATAAGTTAAAAGTTGATAAAAAACATCGACTTTTATCGATCTGATTGAGTGGTAGCTAATGTATATGACGGTTTGAATAATCGGAGACATCCGTGACTATAATATATGTCAAAGAGATATATTTCACACCGAAATATCAAAAACTGAGAGACAAGTTCACGTATATCCATTCGAGCATGGCTAAATCGACTGAGCACATCAAGCTGATCATTTATAGTATATACTTCATAGAGTCTCTGATGTTCCTTCTGGGTGTTGCAATCTGTTTAGGGTATAAAAATTAAACGTACTTTCTTTTGCGGTATCAGAGCTATGAAATAAGCTTTCGGGGAATTTTAAACTTCATAAATTAACTTGGTATTGGTATTGGTATTGGTAAGCAGGCAATAATTGCGTAAATCGTGTCTTCGTAGGACGCATCAAACCTGGCGAACGTGTAACAAAACATGCAGTAAATGTTGTCCGCAAGCGCTAACATACCGATCTACATACATACATACATATACTATGTATGTCATCATAATGCTTGTCAGCTAGAGCGTGGATTGCAGCACAATGCCTTTGATAAGCGACTGTTTGCTTTTTATCAGCATTAACAGCCAAAGGGCCGCTGATAATGTGATTGGCCTCATAAAAATTATTGTCATCTATAAATATGTCTCAGAAATACTCTTCCACAACTATTGTCTTAATTCTGCCAAGYGTAAATATTCAGTTCGCGGGATATTCTGTTTGTTTCTTCAATAGGTTGTGTGAACTTCATGCTAATGTCTTTCTACAAACAGAGGTTTCTCTTTAGCTTCGCGCTTGTTAGTTTAGCATGCATTTATAACGGTTTGGTGTCTGGACATGGCATGTTGCTGGATCCGCCGGGTCGTTCTTCCCGCTGGCGCTACRATTCTACAGCRCCCACGAACTATGATGATAATGGCTTGAATTGCGGTGGTATGTCGGTAAGGAAAACAGTTTATTCTAAGCTTAGGGGGTTATAAGAAAGAAATCAAGTAAGGTGAGATGTGGTTTAGTGTAATTTTTACTTCGTTAAGTTCYCGATATTTTGAAGAGTATTACTTTTTCCATATTTGAGAAAGACCTGTAGAGCATAGGTGTTTTATAGTTATTTATGGTAATTTACATAAAAACTTTATGTTAACAGCGGTGACCTTGGCAAGCGTTGGTAAGACGTCTGTGTATTTCCCACACACATAATTTTCTGTTAAATGTTCAGAAGATATTTGAAGACCGTTCATTTGTCGAATAATTCCAATTCGATTATAACAAATAAATATTCGGCATGGACAGAAAACGATTTTGAATTTGCTCACATAGTTGCGATCAGAGGTAACAGTCGGGTATACGTAACATGAACGAAGACGAAGGAACGAACCCTGTCAACTCAACAGTATCCCTACTAATTACTTCGGACATGTTTTCTGCCGCTACAAAAACAACAGGAACACTCCGCCCTAAATGAGTAAATCGTAGAATGTTAGAGAAGTGGAGCAATAGTTATCCTAAATTGAAGAGCTGAAGCTTTGAGCACTACTAATCCATACTTTCATGAATAATGAGCGGAATATGCATAAGTTGGACTGAATTCTGATCTTAGTGCTGAAATTTCATAGTTCTTCTCGGATCGATCTTTCTAGGTTCAATGGGAAGAAAACAATGGTAAATGTGGACTTTGCGGTGATAATTATGCAATGTCCATGCCGAGAGCAAACGAAATCGGCGGTTATTATGGTGGTTCGGGTGTGATAACCAAAGAATTTCGTGACTCCTACACAGCTAGTGTAGGTGTACGCATCACCACCAATCACTTGGGCTACTTCCATTTTGATCTTTGCAATCTGAGTGAATTCGGCGACGAGTCCGAAAACTGTTTCGCGAAATATTCACTACGTTTTGTAGATGGATCTGATCGTCTATACATTGGTAGCACAGGAGGTTTGATTGTTGCAGACCTTGTTTGGCCCGAACAATTGAATTGCGAGCATTGTGTGCTGCGTTGGACTTATACCGGTGGTAAGCTCAAAAGCGAAGATAATCATTCGCAAGACCTAATTGAATATCCGCTATATCACTATTTCAGGCAATAACTGGGGTCCTTGTGGAAATGGTACAGGCGCTTTGGGTTGTGGACCGCAGGAAACCTTTGTTAATTGCGCTGATATCAGTATTGCTTTCCCAACTACTGACTCTCCAAATGTCTATCGTCCGGATGTATATTCCGTGGAGGACAATTTCAACGATGAGGTACCAGATTATGGCGATATAAATGAAAATTAGGACTAAGTRTGCCCTGCCAAAAGTTCTGTTACAWGTTCAGATCGTTACAAAAATTAAACTATATAAAATAAATTTTATTGATATACTAAATTTTATTCGAAATGGTCCCTTTTGCTTTAACACAAGACCTCAAACGATTCGGTGTTTGAGCAATAGCAGCGCRCGCAGTTTCTATTGGTACTGGCAACGCAATTCGAATCAAATATTTTTTGAGACTCCAAATTTCTATTGGGTACTCGGCAGGTGATGTTTTCTAACTTTGCCCATAATTTGTAGTCCAATGGATTCAAATCYGGACTTCTCGATGGMTAATCGTCTGCGGTTATGAAACCRGAAATTTTGATTTTAAGCCCTTCTTTTTTTCCCATGGGTGCTGAGACAGAATCTTGCTCGAAGATCCAATATTTTCAATCAAAGAGAATACACGCTTAAACATGTTCCGGGTACACTTTGGCCAAGTTTTAACCCCAGTTTCACAGAACAATTGTTTGTTTGCGTAGATTTTGTCGTTTTGCTATTAAAAACTTATTCCACAGTGATATTTTTTTCTTCAATAATTCTTCTTTATTGGATGTTGACAGCGTGCCACTGAAGAAGCGGCTTGCCTCAGATGAGCCAGAAAATTACCAATTGACCGACGGCGGGGTTTCATTTGGAGAATATATCGAATCACTTTCAGTTTAACTGCACTATTGAACGATGAATTTCTTGCTTTAGCTGGTGGCATTTCCCGATGCGTTTCGGCATGCGCACCACACGAGAGTGGAGYCTCTCATTCATCGGCCCTTGCTGCAACCGCAACTATCTGTACACAACTCCCTCACTCACAAGATTATTTTAGATATGTATGTAGACACTGCATACAAATTACATATAATAAAAACTAACGATACTTTTTTCTTTTCGAACCTTTGTCCTCGTATTGTAAACCTTGTAACAGATTTTATGGCAATACAAATTATTTTATTATTGTTAATAGGTTTGCAGGTGTTACCTGTGTTGAGTTATCTACTTTTAAATATTTTATTTGAGCTCATAATGCTTTATGGAACTGTTTTACCGTAAGCATACTGCTATTGAATGCATCTCTCGGCCTTAATCGTTTCAATATGTGCACACGAGCTGTGATATTGTAAGAAAAAAATCTTTATAGGGAATCTTTCTTCCCCGCTAAAGAAAGACGGGCAATAGCTTCATTCTTTTTTCAAAACACTCCGCCAGAAACAGGGGAATTGTTGACGTCTACACGATGTGTGAGTTTTGTTTGCAAAAGTGATTAAATAATACTTTTCATTGGTAGTGTTTTTTACGTGGCGGGTCCCAAACCCAGCGYACAACCCTGTGGAGTGGATGTTTCGCCTTCTCAATTTAGCTCGCCTTCAAACAGATGTTTTCTGGCCATTCAGAGGATACTTGGTCTAGGATCGGAATTCGTGACCTGCTTGAGTCATGAGTAAAATAACGTTTCTGGCCACTCCCAAGTCATCAGAGAACTTTCTTCACTTTCTACACTCCATCCTCCGCTTGGAATTGTCGCCACCTTGAGAAAAGAAGAAACGACTGACGCGCTGTTGTTAACTCGGCTACAACCGCGTGAGCGGGGTCTACGCCAGTAAATAAAAAGAAGAAGATTAAATAATAAGCAATTAAAAATCGTTTCTTTTTTAGAATAAATTTTATATTTAAGTATCTCGTATTTGTAATAATATATATAAACTTTTTCATTATTATTTTACTTTTTTACTTTCATTCTTTTTTTACTAGTTATTTCATATATATGTATGTATGTATGTATAATGCTATGCAATATTTGTAATTATGCATAACTGTTGTTGTTTTTTTCACAATTTACATTCATGGCAATAATTCTGCTTTGACAGTAGTCTTACACATATTGAATTTAGAAATACTAAATTTGTATGTATGAATGTTAATGTAGATCTAAARAAAGATGCTTGCAAATTTAGACACATTTCGGTGCACTTGGGGACAAACACATTCGGTAATTTTGCATTTCGTTTATCAACGTAATATGCTCAGTAATTAGWTTCTTTAATTTCTTTTAGAAATAATAGCTTTTGCCAAAACATCACAAATTTAAAAAATGTACATGACCTTGACTCTAAATCAATTGGGGTATTCACAACCTGTCTTAAATCGTAAAGCCGTAAAATTTTAAATTTTTACACTTGTTTAAAAAAAAAAATTGTTGTTGGTTTACATACAAAAATGAGTTTACGCATTTACAATTCTCAATACTATGTTTTCGAATCGTCATAACTTATAACTTTAAGAGACATGTGAAAACCCTAATTTTTATGTATACAAGTGTAAAAATTTAAAATTTTACGACTTTACGATGCTTTAAGACAGGTTGTGAACGCCCCAAATATGTTTTTCTTTTGTCTGTCTTCTTGTTTATGTAGYCATTTAAAGTTCAATTCAAGATAATATACATACATATATTTTCACTACCTTCACATACATATTATTTTATTTATTTACTTTTTTGTTTATTTTTTCTTTCGTATTATGCATTTATAAATTTAAGTGAGGTTATGCACTTCCTAACACTCACTGCTTTCATTTTTAAAATGCACATCATTACGTCGCTCTTCAATTATTTATGCAATTATTWTACTTTCATGTACGTATATTGGTTAAGTTTCGTTTGTGCAATATTTTAAAAGTATATGTACATTTGTATGAGTGTTTATGTAATAACCAACTAAACTGGATTTGATTAAAGCTAAAATAGGTTTAACTATATTTAAAAATATTCGCGACGCTGTCGAGGGGAAATGAAGTACCTTGCAATTGCGAATAAGAACAAGTGAAGCCGCTCATAGATATTTCGGTTTTTCGTTTTGGGTAACAACTTTTGTAAAAAAAGAACAAATAACGGTAAAAAAACATTGTCTCAATAATATTAGTGAACGCCAGCTTCGAAAACTGTCTACATTGAAACTTTCCGGCAATGTCACAGTTATCAGTACTCTTTAGTTACCAATAACTGGGTAAGTCTAGTACTTTAATAAAATTTAATARAAAGGATAGGATTTTCGGTTAAGTGGCGAGTCAACAAGCCAACGATTTTTCAACTCATGAGGGGATTTTAAAATAAATATACATAAGTGGTATAACACTTCATGTTTCCAAACATTAAGTTATTGAGTAAGTTAAGAGTGGATATAGGCTTTAAGAGCTAAAAAGAAAATATACGAATTTTATTACATTTCTCAAATCCTATAAACGTAACAAACCATACTTATTTATTTACTTTTTCATTAATTTTTATTTTGTCACAAAATTGTTTGCTGGTAATTAATTCATGCTTAATATTAATCGTTTTTATTTCATGGAAACATTTTGTTAAAATTCATATTTGGTTTTTGTAAAACGATGTATCTAAATATTTGCTTAATTTTTGTTCTAGTTTTAATTTATTTACTCACTTTCACTTACATTTAAATTACATAATTATGTTTCCTTGATTTACAGTTCAAGACTATCTTCGTAATACCTGAATTTTAGAATTTTGAGTCCGAAACGCGGTTTTGTTTTGTGTTTTTTCACACTTCTTGCTTTTGTCTTGCTAAATAGAGTCAGTTTTCATTGGAATTTTGTTTTGTAACATTTACTTATATACTGTATGTATATGTGTGTGTATGCAGTCATGTATGTTGTTTTTGTTTTTCGTCATATCCAAAAGGGTTGTTGCCAAAAGTTTTGTAATTTGCTTTGGTTTGGTTTTCTTGTACAGCGCACTCGCATTATTTATAATCAATTATATTTAAATATTATTTATATATTTATACATACATACAGATATGTGCATGTGTAAGTTATTATGAGTTAATTGTTTTTTTTAGTATGAGTTGGTTTCAGAAAGTTTTGTATTTTTATATAATTTTAATTTTGTAAACATTGTATAATTTATGTTGTTGTTTGCTTCTTATCACTGAATTTTTGTTATTTTTGTCCTGTTCAATCAGCAAACAAAAATATAGCGAAACGTTAAGAAATCATATTCATTTATGCATGTAGTTTTAAAGCTATTCGGGGGAGAGAAATTCGCATACATTTTTATTTAAAAACCCAATGTGTTCAAAAGATAGCTTTCGGAGATTTGCAGTGATATCTGACAATCACAATAGCGTTTACAATATTATGTAGGCTATGGTGATTTTAAATATTATTAAACTATTCCGTTTTCTCATCAATTAAATGTATGTATATACATACATACTAACATGCAYATCTAACATACGGAAATTTTAGGCGGCAGATCAGAAGTTAATACAAGGAATGAAAATTAGCTTTTTTTCACATATATGTAGAATAATTTACGTGCAGTAGGGTCTTTAATTTTATTTTTAATTTATATTTTGTCTAAATGAACGCATATAGACTAGTGCTGAAGAATTTTAAAATGATAAAAAAAAAATAAATTCATAGTTGTAACCCATCAAAACCGAAGGACAAAATAACAAACTTTAAAGGAAAAATAATTTATGGGCGTTCTTAGATCGTCAATTAGAAAGGGAGGGGTGTATAGGAAAGGGTGTATTGGCGTAACATTTACGAAGTTACTAGTATTTCGCTCTACATAACTTCAAAACAACTGCACATATTTGACGAGGTAACRTCGGAAAATTACTTTTAAATTTCTTGATGACATTCTTATACAATATCAAATTAGCCGGGGTTTTAACAAATAATTGCGTTTTCTCTTCAAAAATATTCCTCATGCTTTCGGAAATGTTAAAAAACCCTCACGGTGTTACCCGGAAAAAATTATTAGCTAATGACTGAACTTGATGTTTTGATTTCGGATGACCACGTGGTTCAACTTTTTTCGAGATACTCTTGAGTAATAGCTGCCAGAATATTCTTCAAAGTCAGCTATACAATAATGTGMCATTGATTTAAAAAATAGGTTTAAACATTTCATAAAAAAATCTCAAAAAGTAAAAGTGGTTTACTCTCCCCTTAAATCAACACTGAAAGCTAAACAGTTTGCAAGATTATACAACTTTTTATACCAACCACATCTGCCGTTTTTTGCTGACGATCCAAGTGAAATAGTTTATTTAMAAATTATTTGTGTTATTTAGTGGCTTAATCGTTTCTACATTGATTTTTAGTATTGCTAATACAATCGCGTTATATTTGAKTGTGTTTTTTATATTCATCTACCAGTTCTCTGAAATTTTATTTCTTTATTAWTATTTAGAAAATTCTTCATTATTACATCGTACTTGTATTTGTATTTCTCCGCTTGGCACATTTTCTTGAGTTTATTATATGTTTCRTATATGTATGTAACGTAGAGATTATTTCAAAAACAGTTTGTAAAATGGGGTTATGGGAAACAGCAAGCTTAAAAAAAATTAAGAATGTATTTCAAATTCCTATTATGAATTGAAACCTTGGGATGTCTTCGCGCTTTTAGAGTTTTGCATGTGTCTTTGGATATTATATAAAATAATTATTTTTTAATGTGCATACTATATTATGTAATGACTGAGCATAATAACGGATTTTTATAACAAATTCATCAAATTGTTTTTCAATTTTTTGACAAACAAAGTGCGCTGGAGAAGCTCAAAACTTTACAATTAAACAAATATAAAAATATATATGAAATGCGGTAATTTGTCTCCGGGAGTATTGCTAAGCTTCGAATAAGTAAATAAACGGCTAAAATAAAACAATAACATAAAAAATTATTTTCTGCATAAAATCAAAATTTATTTAACATTCTAAAACACATTTATAATTTGTATATGCACTACTTGTTTCATTTTCTTTATATACTATATGTATATTTATAATTATGATGGGGTATAGAAAAGATTAAACATACAGCTTTGCTTTGTAATTTACGATACTAAAGCATATGCACTTGCGCTGCTTTATATAAACATTTTAAGATAATACATTTTTCTTCTTTCTTAGAAATAATAAAAAAAAAATTACTACATAGCGATAGTTTTATGTGTATATATTAATTAACAATATGTTTGTTGGCATTAGTATTTGAGACTTTAGTATATTTTGCAAATTATTTACTTATTAAAAAGAAACCATTGGAAAAGTAAGATAACTAAAATATTAACTTAACTACAAAACAAAATTTCGAAAGAAATCCGTACACGGTATGCGTGTTCAAATACGAGTATGCATGCATATTTGTAAGTGTTTCATAAATAATAACTACTACAATGCATAATCAATAAAAAAAATATTTGTCATACAGTCTTGAATGCATGCAAATAAATATGTATATATTTACCAGAAGTTTCTAACAAAACGTGAAAATCAACATATTTGAAAACTTGAAAAATCTTCTTTCGAAATGTTGCCGCAAAAAGTAATTTCAAACGAGTTAAGTTTAAACATTACTAAAAACTGGTTGAAAACATTTGCCTAAATAGTTTGTTTTTTAGTAGAAATTACAAAAGCACAAAAAGTAAGGTTTGTTTTTATGTATTTAAGTATAAGATATTAATGCACATATGTTTAAAATAAAAAAAAAATTAAAACAATATTTGTAATATTGCAATATTGTAAGTGGAAGACGGCAGTCGCTCACATTTGTGTTTACAAACATATGTACGTATGCGTGTTTGCTTTACATATCTCATTTCAGTGCTGTAAGCGAAGGGGCGCATTTTAAAGTGGCGCATTAAAGCAAATATTTAAAAATCATTGAAATTAATTTGTATAATTTTCAATGAGCACATCTGGGTTGGTTCAATTAAGTTATAAGCAAATTTGTAATATTTTCCTGCAAAKAACGATTTTTACAAATTCAAGAAAGTCGCATAATAATTGCTTAAAATAATAAAGAAAAACTTTTGCCTCGATTTGGTTGAGGGTTAGTTATATTACGTACTWCATAACCATAAGGCCGCCAACGATATCGAAATAACCTAATAAATATAAAATTGTATTAAAACTATAGCGTATGCTTCATTACACACAAATTCATTCATTCACCTCGAGTTACAGTGTGCAAGGAAAATACATGGTTGTATTGTTTTCAAATTTTGTACTTAAAATAAATAAAATAAATGTTAAAATCATAAATTAAAATTCAATAAATTTTTTTGTTTAAATAAAATTTCAGTTAAAATACAAAGTGTGTATAAAACGGCGCTTGAAAAGCAAGGGAGGTGGTTGAGTAAAGAAGACATAGGCAGGTGTAAATAATTGTGTGGACTGTGGAGCGGGAAGTAGCGGGATTTTGAAACAAATTACAAGTTTTTAAAATAATAAAAGAAAAGTATATGCTTTGTGCTGGCGGCTTATTCTTACGATGAAATAAATAAATAAATGTTTGCTTGATTTACATGGAGTTTTACTTCAATTTATGTTTCAATGTTTTTACAACTAACATAATGTTATAAATTGTAATCGTGTACAATTATTATGTAAAATAAACTGCATAGTCGTAAGACGAAYGCCGAGAGTATGCAGGAGGCATCAAAGTAATTATAGGTTACGTTCGCTCAATTACCAATACTTTTAACTGTATGGGTGTATATATGTATGTGTTTGTGTTTAATAAAATATTTGCATGCACTTACTTGTTTGCTTATGTGCTGTTTTAAAATGTTGAACAAAATAATAATATTTGTGTCTTGAATGGGCTACTTCGTTATTATATCTCTGCGTGTAAGCATGTTTGCCAAGTTTRTATAATTTTCACCGTGTGCCGCTTGTAGCAATTTATTAAATGTGTTAACATTATGTTTAAGACATCTTTAAGTTTCATCTATAATTAGTTTAATTAAATTTAAAATTTGAGTTCACTTCACCCACTAACCTGCAAAGGCTACTTAGTTAATAATTAATTATTTATTTTCTGTACTTCTTTATTTGTTTTTTTTCTTTCTATCGGTTTTCTTTGTTTGTTGTTTGAGTGTACTAATACAATCGGTTAATTCATTATTCACTTATTTGAATTCATTACATTGATTATATGCTTGAATAAAGGTTTATTTCTATCCTGTATGCTTTGCAATATTGTTTATTGATGCGTTTTAAAATTAAAAACTATTTAAGCTTTAATTAATTGGGATTAGTTATATATGTTTTAAAGTGTTTGCATTATATGTGTGCTAAATCAATTTACTGTGTGTTTCTTTACTGTGCTGTTCATTTTGTGATTCTCTTAATACAATCGCTTTTCGAATCCATTTCATTTCAGTTTTCTAGGCTTGGCGTATGCGTTTATCAATTAATTAATGCTGGTAATTCTTTGCTGGCGTTGTTGGTGTATCGTTGCAACAAACCGCAATCGTGTTGTATGTTGTTGTTGCCAGGTCGCGTGTCTTATTGCTTATACTAAACGGTTATCTTTTTATCAATTTATGTCTTCTATGAATTCTCCAAATATAACATAAATGTATAAACTTTCCCAAAGAGGTAATCAAATCGTTTTCGAACAATAATACATTATCATTGTCACAGAACTTTTACACTGTCACGCAGTTCATCTGGTATATCAAAGGCAATTACTTTCCTTTKTATATGATCAAATATTTCTTAGATTGGCATTAAAAACTTCCCCTCTTTGCGGTTGCAAATGTTACTTACTTACGGCTCTTGATGGCATATATTATGGTTATATGCATAAATTGCATAATTACATTATGCCATGGCACACTGAATTTGAATTTGATTGTACTGAACTCTCCCATTAACTTTCTCTTTTTCTAAGAAATATGAACCATAGTTGTTATTGTGTTTTTAATACTATCAGCTCTTCACACGAGCTGCGTATTCAGGGAAGCTTTACTTAATTATTCGTCATTTGATTGTGATTGCGCGTCTAAAGAGAAATAAAAAACAATAGTAGATCTTCGGTCAAATATTGTGGACATGGATTTAAAATTTGCTCGCATTACAATTTTCTCCGCTCCCATAGTTCTGGTTTAGCGTTGTTGTTGCTATAGTTGTGTTTGTTGTTATTGTTGCCGAAGTTGTGGACAGACTGGTTTCAGCGGATGGTGTCATAGGACCGGCCGAGTGTGGTGTGAATCCAGCCTGGCTCATGCACTTTTGGCGCACTTCGCGTATTTTCAATTGGAGATCTTGTTTTCGCGGAAATACATCGATGTGCTTTTTCTAAAAAGAAAGATAGCAGGTGAACAAAACAAAAAAAGAAGAAAAAGCTTTAACTGCGGTTGTACCAAAGCTATAATATCCTTCACAAATACAAAAWATTCCCTATAAGAACGTGACAGAACAATTATTATCTATGACTGATGTTAGTGACTCGATCTGAATAATTTCTTGCTTTAGGCATCAACACGTGCCGAACTTTGTGAAAATATCTCGTCAAATGAAAAAATTTCCCATACAAACGCGTTCAGATTGTATGACAGCTAAATGTTAAGGGGTCCAATATCGGTGGTTCCAAAAATTGAGCAGCTGCTTTGGGACAAAGGGGTGGGTGCAAAATATGAGATCGATATCTCAAAATCGCATTGACTAGTTCGCGTATATACAGACAGAAGAACAGACTGACGAATATGTCTAAATCTACTCATTTTGATCATTTATGCATATATTTTATAGGATCTGCGGTGCTTTCTTCTGGGTGTTACAAACTTCGTGGTAAACTTAATAAACCCCGTTCGGAGTTTAAAAAAACACATCGAGAGATTTCAATGTACATACATATAATAGGTTGTCAAAAAAGTTTTGCGGTATTTTTTATTGAATTTTCAATCGTTCATAATTTCTTAGTGACTCCAAGCTTCTTCAAATGGTTTATAACGGTTTGATGACTGCTACGATGCGACGAATAAAACTAAAACTACGAGCTCTCAGCGCCAACTAGCGAAAATACCGCAAGACTTTTTTTATCAATGCAATAAATTAGTATGTCTTCATGTTGCATACCTGAAAAGCCATTGTAGCTTGAGTTGATGGAAACATGCCGTGTTCGTTGAAAAGTTGGTAAACAAACTTCCGACGTATTTCCAATACTTTACGATGACCCTTCTCGCTCGCATCGGATCGTGCACTTTGTAAAGGTGTTTGTGGAGTGCGGGGCGAACGATCTGTCTCATCGGAATTCTCCAAATCTATAATTAAATCAAGTTCAACATGAAAAACCCGCATATACTTAATATGCCAGTAACTGGTTTAGTACTTACTTAGCTGTTCAATATTGAAATCGGGCCCGAAGAAACGCTGTGACGGCGTTGATGGCAAGGATGCTGTCTCAAGGGCTGATTCATCCTCACACACGACTGTAAATAAAAATTGTTTAATGCTTTTAATCAGTGTGCTTTAATGCCAAATTGTTACTCACGCTTTTTTGGGGGCACAATTGGCTGTGGTGGATTTTTCTTTCGATAATTAGTGCCGTAGACGCGTGGCGATGATGGCACTGCGATGGCGCTGGGAGATAGGCAATCCTCTGGTTTGAACTGTGGCAATGCTTGATATTTCTTCTCAAAATCAACTTGTTTTAGGAYGCTACTTAAGTAGAACAAAATATATATATATTTATATAAGAAATTTAAGTATTTATAAAATTTTGATTTTCCATGGAACGGCACTCACTTATCCATGTCATCGTTTTTCTTTTTGGTCGCTGATGCTGATTTTAACGGCGACTTTGGGTTCAACACACCGCTTAAATCATTCACGCTRCCGGCACTGCTATTGCTATTAACTGCCGATGGTGTGGTAGGCATTTGTTCATCGCTGTTGGGCGTGTTCGTTGASGAGGTGGGTGTGGGCAGCGCTGATGTCATAGAACTGACAACCGTGTTCACATTACCAATAATCGGCGATGATGAGTCCACCATAATAGGCGAATTCAAGTTCTTCATAGAGTTGCACCCCATCAGGACGGTTGAAGCAAATGTGTTATTATTGCTATTTTCGCCAGCTGCGTTGTTTGATGCTGTAATTGTTTTAGAATATGAAATAATATAGACGTATTAAGAAAATAAGCTAAGTACTGGTTAGTACATACAAAAATTTTTACGTCGCGGAAATTTCGCACGTCCCAGTTGCGCAGGTGTTGGTGCTAAAATGAATTGCTGTCTGCCACCAATGTCATTCTGCTCATCCTCGGCGTCCAAAGCTGAGGTTGAGCTGCTATCTGTGCTGCGTTTACCAGCCGAGTCCGGTGGATTCATTGCGAAAGCTGAAGACAAGCACGCCGATTTCGGAGTGGTGGGTAATGATTTGCAAGACGGTGATTTTGGTGTAGACTCTGTCAAGGGATAAAATTAAATATAAAATATAAAATATGTATATCTAAAAATACAGTATAAATGCACACAAACCAGTATAATTGTGTAGTAAAATAGCGTTGTTATTGTTGGTATTTGATAAAGCACTGCCACCACTTATATTTGTATTCACACCGTAAGTCGTTTGGCCATTGTTCTTCTTGTAATTGGGGTAAGAGATGGGAGTTGGCTTAATTGGCCCACAAGAAACATTGCCGGCGCCGGCGATACTGCCTACTGATTCTGTTAGTTGTGGCATTGGCAGAAGAGCGACCTGGAAAAATATTTTACTTTTATTATTTTTATTTTTACTTGGTTATATTTAGAAACTCACCTGATTTAACATATTGTTGACTGTGAAAAGTATTTGCTTCTGGCCGCTTGCGATTCCGCCATTACCACAAGTCGTCGTTGCGAGTATTTGTGTCGGCGTCATGACTGGAGTGCTGGTAAAACAGGAGCCCGTGGTCGAGCTGTTGGCTACACTAACCGATGCAGGTGACGAAGGCACCGAAGATGCCGCTGCGTTGGCTGTGGAATTTACAACAGTTGCAATATTTGAGTTGAACATTAAAATCGAAGTGCTACCACCGCCATTGCCCTCGATGCTGCCACTGCCATTTTTGACGTCAGCATTGAAGGCGGCGGTCGCGCTAGTTGTTGCTATTGTGTCGTTGCTGCTGAAAGTGAATATGTTATTGAGGTTGTTGTTGTTATTGCTGCCGCTGCTGCTGTTAGTAGCATTAGTAATTGTAATGATGCTGTTGTTATTGTTCTTGATATTGYTGCCATTACCGCTGCCACAGCCCAAACGTGTAGCRGTTGCCGTGAGCGTTGGTGCCGTACTCAATAGCGTTAGCGTGCTACCAATTGGCGGTGCATTGCCACCACCACCAATTCCTACGCTGCCATTGCCCATCGCTACAATATTGCCGCTATGGTTGCTATTGGAAGAGCATGAGGTTGCGGCGAGTATGCGTGCGTTCGCCGGAAGTGTAATCTTGTTGCAAGAATTCACGCTGATCAGCGACAATGGCCGCAAAGTGGTCGCAACACTATTCGAATGTTTGACTGCGATGGGTGTGGAGGGGTTCGAATTAATATTTAACGCGTTTGGATTGACAGTTCCACTGGTTTTGTTGGGGCCGGCGTTACTATTGGTGGCCAATACGTAGGTGTATGTGGCTGGCCCATTTCCAGCATCTGACAACTTCTTCAATTTATGCGGCAATAACTGAGCAGATGAGCTGCTGGCATAACGCTGTCCATCGGTTATCACCAGCATCGTCGGTGGTTGTTGAATTGTGATCGCCGGTGTTTTAATGTTGGAAGTTGCATCAATAGGTGATGTCTCCGCATCGTTCTCGTTAAGCTGCACATCTTTCACCGCCTCCATTACCATCGGGTCGCAAAGAATAGTGGAGCGGGTAGTTGTTGGGTTTTTATTAAACACATCTTTACCATTTGTGATGAGATTTGAATTGTTATTAAAACAGCCGTTTTTAATTGTAAACAGTTTTTTTGCAATCGTTGTTGTTGTCGTTGGAGTCGACGGTTTTGTTATAGATGACAAAATTGACGTATCATTGTTATTGTTAGCATTATACGAGGAGCAATGAGAGGGGAAAACATTAATTTTGTCAGTTTGCGAAGAGGATGAGACTGTTGTTGAGGTGGATGTGGATGTAAGAATTGATGATGAGGATATAAGGGATGAGCTGGTGGTGTTTGATATTGTGGTAGACGCAGGCAGAGTGAGCGGTGATATCATGGTTGCGCTCCTAGATCCTTTGTTGAAGAACAAAGGTGGCGGTGTAGAGCTTAATGAATGTGAATTCGAGTGTGGATTGGAATGTGGATGATGATGATGGTGATGGTGGTGTGTACGAATAATTGCGAACTGAGCAGTACTGGGCACAGCTGGCACGAGTTGTTGTAATGCCGGTGAGGCATTCAACGACTTTCGTCTGATTTTCGGCGATTGAGGCTCATTAACACCAAATGGTGTAGGTACACGTGTAATTACTGTAGGCGGTGTCTCCACCCGCCGCTGATGTAAATATTTCAACTGACGATGTGGTGAGTTGTGCTGTTGTTGTGGTGTCAATGAACGCACGATAGTGAATTGTCTACGTTTCAATGGTGGCAGCCGATCAGCCACTGGCTCAACCGTGTTCACAGCCAAAATTGATGAAAACGTTTTCGTTGTTGGTGTTCTGCTGCAGTTAGGCGTTGTGGGTGTGCTGGTTAAACGTAACTTTGGTATTGTATAGAATTCTATATCATCAAAATCTGTTTCGGTCTCGTAAGCATCGTAGTCATCATCATCGGCGACGTCAGAAAGTGCTTGGGAACGTGTATCTTTGCGGCGCTCTGTGGCTTTTGCGACCAACAACTGACTTGCTGCATTCATATATTACCGATTTTAATTTTCGCGAAATGCAAATATATATGTATGTGTTGATGATGATTTGGTAAACAATTAATGCACATGTAGACATGGCATGGTCAATGGTTAGTTGTGAAGAATGATGGAGAGAGAAAGAAATAGAGAGAGACAGCAACTTTTGATTTGCTAGAAAACACGTAAGAATGCTATTGCATATGGAAAAAAAAATAAATAAAAATGAAGATGGATTCTTTTAAAACATGACCTAATAACTGGTTGAAAATTAAGTAACAATTAATGAAATACTAAGGATGCTTATGACGATGATCAAAATGATGGGTGGTGGCATATTGATTTAAGAAACTTATAAAATTTTTTTCAAACAGCTGATTGATAAGGATTCAAAATCAACGAAGTAGCTAAAATAAATGCGAAATAAAAATCAAATTACAGCAGTCAATATAAACCGAAAATACAACACAATAGCAACAACTGAAAAAGATTTATGATAAATCATAACAACTTATTATTTTATAATATAGAAATTATAGAACTGATAATAGATATATAGAGTTCGTGAATACCTTTACTACCCTCCATGGTATTAGGACTGCGTAATGGATGTCCTGTTGTCTGTTGTGTCTTTTGATTCAGACCCGCTGCCGCGCCCATTGGTACATTGAAAGTGAATACGCTATTTACATTTGCACCGCCGCCATTCATTTTGTATGGCGAAGGCAACTCTTGCTTGATATCCTCCTGCTTTATATGCAGTGGTTGCAGCTGCTGTTCGTCTATCTTTGTGCTTTTCGGGCTTATGGGCATGGTTTTGAACGCACCGCCTAAATGAGTACAAATGCGAATATTGTTATAAATTAAGGCATTTAAATATGAGAGAAAGTTGCATATCATGAAAATACAATAGAAAAGCATTATGCCATGTCGCCACCGTTAACAGTGCTCTCAAATTTTATGAACAACGAAATCAAATGCGTTCCATTAAAAACGCTTTTGAAAAACAATTATAAGAACTGTGCAAACGCTTTTCAAAATTGTATTTCGTTTATAATTTATTGCGCTCGCCTGTTGGTTGGAATGGTGTTACACCGATTGGGTTCTTCGGACTGTTGTATGAGTACTTCGGCAGCTGCTGTGGACTAAGAATGCTACTTTCAATGCTGGAAGCATATGGCTTGATGGGTTTCGGTTTCAGTGTAATATCTCGTTCAGTATTCACGTTAAGCGCGTTGTTGCCAGAAGTGCTGAGCGCCAACATTTCCTCCGATTTATTTTGACTCTCATTTTTTATACTTGCTTCCTTCGACATTGAGAGCTTTGAATTTATAAGAGATTATTATTTAAATGTCAAAGTAAAGTTGTGGAATAAATAAGGAAAAAAACTTATATATTGACATTTACTTATATTAAAAACAATAAAAAAATGTTATACCAATATTAATTTTGAAGAGTCATTATTAACCTTTTCGTTTTCAGCTGAATGTTCACTTTGTACACTCTTCACTGCATTCGTTACGGTTTTTCTATAATCATAGGCCGCATCCTCTATATCGGAATCGGTAACGCGTTCACGACACTTTAAATCTATTTGCTTCAATGCAGACTCCTGCTGCTGAGATCCTAAATTGCAGCTATTACTGCTTAGCTTACTGTTTGTAGCTTCATCTACCACCAACATCTACAGTGAAACGTATATTTAAATATTATATTCATATTTCGATGTAATAATTAATGAAGTAAAACCTATAAATGCTTTAGGAATTCGTGTAACTTACGTGCTCATCATCGGACTGCTGCGTTTCGTTTGGTTGCACCAACTCCGCTTTAATACTTGTCTTTTCTTCTTTCACTTGACCCAGAGTTTCTTCAATTGTAAGTGGTATGATATCACTTTGAGAATCGATGGCGGTGTTGCTTGAAGCACTCGCTGAACCGGGACTATGTATTGGCAAGTCGATGCCGTCACTAATGTCCAAAGGCCCTCCACATGTTTCCCCCTTGSCGGAACTAGAGGACTTACGACGGTCTTTCGAACACCATTTCCAATGTGGATGCATCTTGAAATGGGCGTCCTTCACCGAACTGGCCAATTCATGATATTTAGCTTTCTGCTCCGGTTTCAAAGCGTACCACCATTCGCCTAGAATTTTGCTAACAGTACGATTGTCTTGGTTCGGATGCTTTTTGTGAACTAGTTTACGATGTTTTTTAGAGAAAATCATAAAAGCGTTCATAGGACGACGGATTTTGTCCGGTTCTGGACTGGAGGGTTCCTTGTCAATGGCACAAGTTCCTCCTCCGGCAGTTGATTTTGCCTGTTGTTGCTGTTGTTGTAAAGCGCTGAGCGATTGTGAACGTCGCTTGGCCGCCGAACTGCTATTACCCGATGCTGTTGATGTCTTCGCCTCTCCCATACCCTCATTGCCATATTTATTCTTTGACGAACTGCCATATCTATAGCTATCACTGCTGCTGTTGATGGCGAATCGCGCGTGCTTCGGCTTGGGTTGTGCTGGTGCCATTGGTTCGAATACATCATCGTCTAATTGATCGTCGTTATCTTCTTGTGGTACGCTGCTGTTGCCCCCGCTACTACTAGATGTGCCAGCTCCATTATTTTTATTCAAAGCATTATTCTTGGCGGCGGCCGCATCACTTGTTGAGAAATTCAGCGGTTTCTCGGGTGAATCTAAATCGGCGGTTATTTTATGACCGACGCTCAAACTATGATTGCTGAGATTGTTGTGCGCACCATGGTGATTTATCAAATTAATTCCTTGTGTTGTTTGCTGTTGTTGTTGTGGAGGTGGTGTTTCCGCCGTTGGCGGTATGATGCCGGCTATTGTAAAATTGGTCGGTTTAACGGGGGACTGGCTGATGGTGGGCAACAGCGTTTGCCATTGATATATCGACCCCGGCGGAAATCCTATTTATAAAAATAATAGAAAAAAAACACGATTAATATTAATTATTGGAAAATTATGATTGTTTGTGTCACATGCCGTTTTTTGGAATCGTCTTTTCATTTGAAATCGGTGGCGCTGCCGTCTGTTGTTGCAAATTATGCTGATGTGCGGCGGCTAAGAGCGAACTATTGCTCCCACCCACACCCAAACTGCTACTGATCGAAACCAATGTGGGTTGTCCTGTCTGCAACGATGAATTGCCACTCGCCGGCGAGAGCAAAGGCACCAGCTGCGTGGGATCGACTATGACAGGATGAAAGGATTGCGGCAATGACGGAGCTACTGTGCTGCCATGTGTGGAACCATTATTTGCGGCAGCGGCGGCGGCGGCAGCAGGTGAGATCCGTATAACGCTGGTGGTGGCGTGACCAACGCTTGTAACCACAGAAGCAGGTGGCCGAGGTGGTGCAATCACTGCGCTGCTAACGATCGGTTGCGGTGGAGGCGGCCCACCCGGCGACAGGGATATATGGCTATGCGCAAGTGGCGGTTGCTGCAAATGATGCTGCTGCTGCATGACAGCAGATTGTGCTGGAGATAGTGGTGGCGGTACCTGTTGATGCGCTGAGTGCAGAGAGGAATGATGTATATTGCCAGCGGTTCCGGGCAGCTGTGCAGCTGCTACATTAACACTGTTCTGGTTGTGTATCACCATAGAGACGGGCGATTGTTGTGGCGGTGGTGCTGTAGCGTTGCCTTGCGCACGCACCGTTTCCGGGCGTATAACTTGTGAATAGCCCACTGTACCATATTGTATGGGGCTAGCTGCGGGCTTCCACTTAGTTGTTTGTGCGTCCGCTGTCACAACGGGGCCACCGCCTATTGGCGTGAAAAAATTTTGGCGATTGGAGACGACTGGCACGGGCGAGTTGGTAACATTCATCGGTGAGGTACCGTGGTTGACAGGCGAAGAATAGCTTGGCGTGGCCGAACGAGAACTGCTCAGTGACACTGTGGAGCATACGTGGAATGTACGTTTAAAGTTAGAATTAAACTATAAAATAATAGTAAATAAAAAACACTGCACATATTTCAAAATTACTTAAACATTGAAGATATAAATTTCCAGCGACGTCATCTCTGGGCAAAAAAATATTTAAATTCATTTTCGCGCATACAGTTAACGAACACAGGTAAGTAACTGATTTTTCAAAATATATTATTTCACTTCTAACACTATGTATTTTATAAAGAATTACTATTTTTATGCATTTTGTGCAAATTCAAAATTTGTATAAAGAATGAGTTGCAGTTTTCGCGCTTCTGTGGTGATTTTTAGTTGCCGTTTTAGTTTCGTTTCCTTAAACGTCAGTTCAACACTAATCTCACATATTTTGTATATTTTTCTACACATTTCAGCGCTATAGAATCCTCTTGAAAATCTGCACTTCACACTTTTCTTATTTAGTGGTTTTGTTCTTTGGCACATTTGCAATTTACCTGCTGACATGGAAGGTCTCAAGGTCATAATATCAACAATGCATTACATATGATCAATGCTCATCTTCAGGTACTTGAAAATGTGGTTGCGCCTTTTTTCTCTGGTCCATTTCATGTATTGTTTTAGTTGTTGGAAAAATCATGGAATGGAGGAGAGTGGAGAGTTTGTTTTTGTAGGTGTAAATTGATTGTTAATAAAAGTGAGTTTTCAAGTGCTCAACATTTAAAATCACAGTTTACAGGCGGAATGGTTTTAACAATAAACACAGCGCATGGCCATTATTCTTCACTACATGTGGATTAGTTTCCAAAACTGATATACTACTGAAATTATGAATCAATTTTTTGATTCTCTCATTCTTTAAATATTTTAACTTTAAGTTTTTGTAATGTAAAAATTAATCGCATTCACACGACAACTCTTTTTTTCATTATTTGCATGTTCTCTTTTGATATCTCCTTATTTCGTTCATACGATCCTGATTTTTTTCTGTCGGATTTTTTTTTCATTCTTTAAATTTTACCTTACCATGAAGGGTTACGAACACAAAGCCTAACACGGTACTTTCGTATTTTCTTGTCGTCCAGTGGCCTACACAAAAACCGGTTTGGACGACAGAAAAAGTCTTTGTGTGAACATAGTCTGACTAAGCTGATACAATTATTTGATATTGTAATTGATTTTTTCCGCTCTTTGTTTATATTACCTAAAATATTAGCCACATCAGTTTCCTCCTGGTCAGAGCGGCCTGCCGCACGGTAGTTGGGTGACGTTTCTGAGTCACGCGAAGTGTCTTCATCCACTTGCGTTTTACTGCTTGAACGGCTATTCATATCACTGTTATGAGAAAGTGTCAGTATATTATTAATATAATTGAAGACTGCAATTGATATGACATACCGAGGAAATCGATTAGCACCATTAGGCCGAAAAGCATTGCCTTTCTGATTAAGATGGCGCGAGCACAAACCACGACGCTGAGATTCCTTGGAGCACATACCGCATAGGCGACGCCATTGTTTGCCATTGTATTTTTTACGCACACCGGATTCCGACTGAACAATATCACCCTTATTGAAACGATGCGGTGTAGTTCCTTGAGATCTGCTATCGTACAAGTATAATGACTAAAATATTAAAATTTTATAATTGACACTATTTGCGACGTTACCTTGGGGTGCTTGATGTGCTGCCGCGACTCTGTACACTGCTACGCTTGCTGCCCGCCGATAGCTTCTCGGGGTCGCCATCGCCAAGCGTGTAACCATCTATTTGCACACCCTTTAATTCATCATCCGACTCGAATTCATCGTATTGCCGTGACTGACGCCGCTGTAGATCATCTGATGGCGATTGTGAGAGCTGATGGTTGCTGCTGCTGCTGCCGCCACCCAACTGCAATTGCTGTTGCGAAACAACAATTTCGGGTAGCGACGTCGTGGCCATGTTACCGTTGCCATTTATCTTGCCAATCGCTCCCGCATTGTGGGCGTTCACAATCAATGACTGCCCACTGCCACCCACATTTTGGAAGGGTGAGGTGGCAGTCGTCCGATAATACTCTTCTTGCTTTTGCAGATGCTGCTGTGCGGCACTATATGACGTCATGTGTGCGGGCAGCTGTTGTGAACCCGCTACCGAAAGGTGTGCCGGAACTTTGCTGTCATAACGTGTAGCCGCATAACTCAATTGTGGATGATGGTGACCGGCACTGGTTTTGTGTGTTGCTGACCCTGAAGTACCGCTGCCGCTGGCAGTGCGTTGTTGATGTGGAGACGTGAGCAGCGTTGAATGTGCACCGCTTGGCTTATGAGTGCCAAAAACATGTGTGTGGTGTTGCTGTGGAAAAGGTGAAAGCTCACGCAATTCGTCCCACCATGGCGGTAGCAGCAGACGCAAATCTGCCCGTTTAACCGTTTTGAACTGTAATTGTAGCATAGTTTTAGTAATTTAATTTRTTTAACATATTTCATATTTCACATTTCTTATGTATAAATGCATTTTTTTGTAAATAATAAAAATTAAATTACTTACTATTGGTGTCGAATCCGTCAGAATTTGAACGGTGAACTGTTTTGTGTTTGTATTGATGGCCGTAACAGTGCCTTCCACAAAAACGTAACCGGAACGACCTTCTATCTGACTGCGCACACAAACGCGAGTGTCCACATTAATCTAACGAAATGAGTAGAACAAAGAGTATTTTAATTACACCACTGATTTGGCTTATCATTCAAAGTAGTTCTAATTCATTACTACAATAACTTGTTTGTATGCTTCGACTTACATCGGCTAATGGTGGACTAGCGTCCAATATCACATTGAAACGCCCATTGCCCAAAACGTCCGTATAGGGTTGTGTGCAATTTTCCGGCGGATCGAATTCGACTGTAATTGAATTCGGTGTAGCAGCTGAAGGTGGTCTGCCATTGGCATCTGCACCACTACAGCTGCCGTTGTACGATGTTGTGTGTCGTATAATACCCGATGCATAGAAATTATTTAATTTGGCCAATACGCGCGTATTTGACCATTCGCTGAGATCCAAATTAGCAACTAGTGGCGGCTGTTGCTGTTGCCTTTGCTGCATGGTAACCACAGGCTGTGGTTGTTGCAAATGCTGTTGATAGGTGTGGCGTTGTTGTTGTTGCAACGTAGTATTGCTTGTAGAAATCAGAGTGCGATTACTGCCGGTGCTGTGAGTCACACTCAACACATTTTGCAGCTTATAATTACTTGAAGGCTGTGTGCTGGAGAAAATTTTAAAATTTAACAAAATATACTATATATAATTATAATAAACAGTTATTGCCTTACCTTGTTATGATGATGCGTTTCTCGGGGCTTTCTAGGGAAGTGCCGCCTCGTCCAACCGCCGTTACAACTGTAGTTCCACTGTTACCGTTGGCGCCAGCGCCAACTACAACTCCCGCCGGCAATGTTATGGTGGAATGTGTCGCCGTTGCCACCGGACTCACAATCATCGATGTTGCTGGGGAATGCTGTTGTTGTTGTTGTTGAACAGTCGAACGTATCGCTGTATGGAGAATATCCGTCTTTGTCGCATCTTCATTTGCACCACTTGTTGTTGTGGCGGACCACGAAAGATTGCTATTACAGCTTGTTGTAGCAACATTATTTGCTGTTGCTGCTGATGATATTGCASTTGTTGTGGCTGCCCCGTTGCCGTTCTTCAAGCTCGCCGAAGTTAAGATACCGTTACTGTTCTCGGCATTTACATTAACGTTTTTATTCGTCGAAATTGGCTTGCTATCATGCCATAATGTGGTTGTTGTGGTGATCGACGACGTTGCTGCTGCGCTATCGCTGTGGTGCTGTAGTTGTGGTGAGGTTTGCTGTTGCCGGTCCAGCTCGGCTGGATCGAATTTCCGCTTTTTCGGATGCTGCCGCGGCGCCGACTGTTGGCTATTGAGGCTAGCGGGCGGGTTCTGTTGTTGATAGAGAGCATTTTGTTGTTGCCTTTGTTGTTGTATTTGTTGCTGATCAGCAGCATACGTATTAACATGGTTCGTCGTTGTTGCTGATGCGACAGAAGAGGATATGGACGCTGATGATGTGCTGGTGGTTGCTGTTGCCGCCAAGGATGGTATTACCATTTTGCTGAGCGATGCAACAGCGATACGTTTCGCACACGGCTCCTCCTCCTCCTCGTCCACCTCCTCAGCGTCAAGAGTAAACTGCTGTCCACGTTGTTTTAAAATTTGTTCGGGTTCAGCGCGAAAAAAAGTCGCCTGTTCTTTTTGATGATTTTGCGTGGATTTTTTGCCGTTCGGCTGTTCTTGTTGTAATTGCAATTGCTGTTTTGCTACGTACAAAGCGGCCGTGGTTGCTGTTGCTCGAGCTGAAACCGCTTTGACCATTTTTCAGATGTTGCACGAAACATCGAAGTAAACATTGCAAAGTCCGCGCTGTCAAGAGCGTAATGTAATTTGTTTGCGGTGAAGTCTTATGCAAGTTTAAAAAATGGCATCTGCAACAAATTATAGAAAATGTTTACTTACAAGTGATACACACATTCCATACATATGTACAAATATAAATTATAAAATATTAGTTATACTATGTATGTAAGAGTCAGTTGTAGCTTACAACGAGCAAGCGCTACAAATCTATCGCTTGAAAAATCAAATACGTCACGTCAACAACTAAATGCCATCATGTTGTTGTTGTTGTTGTAACGGCAGAAGTTGTAAATGCCATCATCTTCTGTGCTGTTGCCAGTCAACCACCTTGTGGCAGACCACCACCAGAAATGGATCAATACTCCCACTTGTCTGGCTCGGCAGTATGCGTTTGCGTGCAATTTGTTATACCATCATTGCTGACTTTCCACATGCCCTGCTACTACATTAAATCTCTAGGTGGGCGTGGCAGTATAGTAGCAATTTCGTCATCCGCAAGGCCTAACTCGCTTAGCATGTATATTTTCCGTAACTTCGGCCTTCAATTTGTAAAAGCAAAACGATAACAAAGTTGACATTTGCGCTAATCCACAGCACACGAAATATGTAGAAATAGCCTACCTTAACCTACGTCAACATAAAACCAACTAACACATGGTTTTGGGCGAAGTATAAGCCAATTTGAGCATGAATAGAACTATGGCAACTACTACACATACCACTCACTCAGAATAAAATGACACGATAGAAGCGGAGCATAAGCAGACACTAGATGTGACAGTGTATGTTTAGTAACTGGCTAACTACTATAGGTGCAGCTCAATCAGGCGGCTATGCTTGCTGAATGGATGTTCGTGAGGATAATACAGGAGCGTGTCTGCAGCTGCGATGTGGGGAGTCGCGAAGCGGTCGATACACAAAAACTACCAGCGAAGTGGGTGTTAAATTTGCTTCTCTTCTCCTGCACATTCTATGCTCGTTCACCAACAAATGCATACCGCCCAACGCAACTTGTTGGTGCTCAATTGCGTCACTATACTATATCAAGTTCTTGTTACATACCACCAACGCGTCAAGCAGACTGAACTAAAATGCAGTCTGTGTAGTACATAGAAGAGAAGGAAATAAGTGCGGCRCAGATGATGATTGCGAGTAGTTGGCGTTAGTATGAATTCCTCCAGAGTTGGCGAGTGGAAATGCACAAATATCAGCCAAGGTGACTGGGCGGTTGCGATGGAGTTCAAAAAACTGACTAGGTTGCGCGCCAAAGAGAATTTCAAGCATGAAACAAGAGAGTAGAGAGACTGAAATGTGAAAAATGGGGCTGTTGTAGAAACGACTTTCAAGTGCCATTCATGGGCTGGTGCGTGTTCATCTAGGATTTTGTGTTGATTACAAGTAGGCTGCTTGAATATCGTCGCCCCATGAAATCTTCTGTTTAACAGCGGTGCGGAGAGTCTATTTTAAACAAACAAAAAATGTGTATGCGAATCGCACGTGAGGGAGTAAATACAAAAATACGAGCWTGCTTGCAATAGGGAGTAAAGAGGATTGACTTAACAAGGCGAAAAATGGTTGTATAAAATATCTGGCTGTATTTTAAATGGCACTAATTTTTAGATTTTTTTTAATGAGTTTGTCAAATAATGTTGAAAACTCCATTCTCAAATGCCTATCACTTAWATGTGAAAACTGCGATGCTTAGAATTAACTAATTTTTCGAAAATGGTCATGTTTATTCACTTAACAGTTTTAACCTTCAGTATACTTGTGCTCTTTTGCATTTGAACGTACTGCATATCCAATTCTCCAATGAATCTTTATTACTTTRTTTGAACGCACACATRCACATGCATATGTACATAAAGTGTCTTACAAAAGTATTCAGAAAATATAATTTTTTAGTAAAAATTAACTCAAAAGATTTTTGGTTGCAGATTTTTTTGCAATCTTTATTATTACTTCAAATAAAGTTTGAACTCTGAAAAAAAAAACTAATTTTGAACAAAAATATGGATTTAGACTACTTTTAGTTTAAGCTTGACAAAACCAACATCGCAAAAGTAGTTTGAAATTTAGTTTCTAAAGCACCGTTATTAACGAATATAAAAAATCCATTTGAAGAAATAAAAATAATATTTAATCTTCGAAAGGAAGGGAAAACGTTGCAGGAGATACCAAAATTTACCAATAGAAGCGTTTCAAGCATCCAGAGCAATTACACAGGAATGCGCTGAAGTTGAGGCAGCGATCAGGAAGGCCGGAAAAACTTGAAATAAACGTACTTCAGCCCCAGGAATTAATCAAAGCCGGTTAAACTGTAAGCTGGAGGCTTAGAGCTGGTGGCCATAACGAGCGAACTCCACTACTAAAGTCGTTTGTAAAAGAATAAAATAGATATAAGCGTTTGGAGTTCAAAACACGTCGTAAACCGTGCTATCGAGTTTTGGTCAAAATTAGTTTTTAGTGACGAAACGAAGTTCGACATACTTGCACCTCTCTGTTTATGTATGTATGTATATAATTTGCACTTCCTCAAATTAATATTTTGTAGACTTTATACGAGTAGCCAAATTGAGGCAGTTCAATTAAGCCGAATCTTGCGGTTTAATTAAAGGAAACGCATGAAAGAACCACGGTATTTTATCGGATAATAACGGTCGACCGGCAGTTGCAAGTTCCGTATTTGTTTTGTAATTTCTGTGTGTCACCCGGACTTTTTTCACGCAGCCAGTTTCAAGCAACAGCGGACATACATATGTATAAAGAATGCAGAAGAAAGTATTGCCAAAACAAAAGAACAGCGGGCGCGAACAACCCTAGTAGGTGCTACGCGCGACTCACTGCAARGTTAAATTTGCTTTTAGTTAACGCACATCTCAACTTACACCCAACGTTGGGAAATCACTGCTGCATACGATCTCGGAAGCGGACTTCGGATTTCGGAAGTTTTACAAGTATTGACTTTCAATTGGCAATCGTAATCATGTCACGTTTTAGGTGTGTAATTGTGCACAAAATTTGCGCGTTTTTAGTTCTGAGTTTTTTTTTCGGGTGCAATTTTGAATTGTATGCAAATAAAKAAAACACACAGAAATATAACTGCACGCTACGAATAGTTTATCGTATCTTCGTTTACTTCGAGCTGTCGACATCTGCGACATAACTTAAGAAGTGTTTGAGGAGGACTGTTAGATTYCGCGCTGATCGATCAAAACTGCTGCAATTTTATTTGTATGCGTTACAAAGTACTATGCATGCCTATGTATGTATGTATGTATGCACATACATATATATAAATGATTAACTAAAAGCGAAAGAGCAGCTGGGAAGAAAAGCTTACTGAGTTCTTCTATTTGTGCACATCAACAACGAGAGTGAACCACCATGGTRTGCTGTACATGCATTCATGGTGAGAACCCTGCGGGAAATAAAACTATGCTAAACATTAAACAAGTGATGTTCGCGATTAAAAACGATTTAAATTTGAATTTTTAAATCGTTATTTTTTAAGTGATTAGTTAATCTTCTTTATTAGAATCGGTAATAATGCATATTCTGACATCTGGCAAATGCCACTATGTCTTTCCTTGTCTAAAGGTTGGTTGTCTCACAATTTCTGCAGTTCTCTTTTAAAACAATGTTACTTCCATCACAACTAGAACTCGTTCTCATTCTGAATTTATTTTTATTTTATATGTTATACTTCAGATTTATTGAACAACCGATAATGCCAATTAAAATCCTTATACTATSTACCCTGATATTTATTTTTTATAAACTTTGCATCTACTCGTATATTAATGCTTTTATAATTCGTGTGCTAAAGAATTCCAATTGAAACTAATAGCACATATTTCGTGAGGGCTAATTCTCGCAGGTCCAGCCATTTCTAGTACGCAATGTAGGTCTAAGTATTTTCTACTCACTTAGACTTTATTTGTTTGACGTTTGCTTAGTGAAGCCAATTCATTTGTATCATTGTATGCGTCKACACGTAGGTATAGTATGAACATTAGAGCGGCCGACTTCTTTTTCTATAAAATTGAAAGCCGGAAAATGGTCTATGGATTATTGTGAAGAACTTTGTTTAAGAGACTATGGGTCTAAAACCAGCGTTTTTTAAGGCGATGTTTAAAAAATCTGAATAATCGTTGGGATGGGAGACATGTGAGATAGTTATCCGATCCCACAGGTTCCGAAAAATAATTAATAGAACACCAAAATTCACCTTCACATTAAATTTCATTCGTACATCTCAAAAACCGACGAATAAACCTTTATGATCCCTAAAAAACTTTGCCTTAGAAATCGCTGGACAGAGACCGGTTTTAGACCCATAGTCTCTTAACAAAGTTCTTCATAATGAACCATAGAACATTTCCGGCATACGCGATTTTATAGGAAGAAATCGAACCGCTTTAATGTACATATGTACATAGAATATGTATGCATGTGGGGTTTATATGCATGGAAGGAAGCGGAGAGATTCGCGCATTTGATGATTAAAAAACCACAACCGGCCGCTGACTCATCTCACTGAACTAAAATCGCGCGACTAACACTATACGTAATTTACACATGTACATATGTACAAAAAATCTATAAGTAGATAAAAGCGTGCTTACTTACATATGTACATATACCTGTAAGTATGTGAATTTGCAGTATGCAGCTGGTCTGTTGACAAGCATTGCGAAATTTAGGATTCAGTACTGTTGATAAGCATGACAAGTTTTCTGGAGTCAGCTGTGTATGTCCGTCTGACAGAATATACGCGTATTAGTCCAAAGTTTTTGAAGTATCCATATGAAATTTTGTACCCTTTGCATTTGTCTGAGTCGTCGATTTCGGGGCACTGTGTATGTTACATGCATAACAGTCATACACACTGACCGACCAAACTCAAGCATTTGCATGAACTTTTTTATTTATCATGTAATTTTTACAAAATTTGGTATAGATTATTACAGAACCACTTTTTTTGTAAATTGGTTCAGAGAGAGAGAGAGAGAGCATAGTTACGTCGGCGAATCAATATTTCTAAGGAAATAAATTTATTTGATTG